TCCAAGACGAGCGTGCGTGGCGTTACCGCAAGGTCTCAGTTTTCTCGAACAAACGGCAGACACGCAATCCATCGTTGTAAACATTGACCATATGTTTGAACAGATGGACGCGGCGCTTGTGCGAAAGGTCCATGTCTTAAACGACCCCCATCCCATCTCCGAAGCTATCGCAAGATGCTCAGTCAGTCTGGCGTGGCGGTAACGGGAGAGACCCAGTTTGAAAACGACCTCCGGCCCTGAAGCTGCTGCAATACGTCAAGAGGAGTGCGCGCGGCGCTGAGGCGAATGCCCCACTTTTGAACGCGCCCCCCCTCCGTCCCTGAAGTTCCGTCAACAGACGGAAGCGAATGTGCTCGGCGCTGAGGCGAGTGCCCCATTTTGAAAAGCATCCGCCCTCGATCTTAAGTGGTTGTTGCGAACTCGCAGGACGAATGCGTGCGAGTCGCGGGCGAGAGCCCGATTTTGAGACCGGGCTGAGTTCCGTCCTGGAAGGGAGCTTCAGTCGGGCCTGTCCTTCTATAGGGGGAATATTCAAAAATAGATTTTTAAAAAGCAACATAGTCTGGGGACGATGGTTTGAATATGTTCTATTGCTTTCTCTTCCAATTCCAAAATCCCCCTGTAGTGGGACAGGCCCGACCTAAAAGTAAGCTGTTGCGACCTCATTCACGACGACGCTTCGCGTTCACCGCCCGCCCACTCCATTTCTCGCAGGGCGAGGCGAAGACGGCTCCACTGCGGGATGAACAGATGCAGAACATCGTACAAGAGCCCCCGCAGGTGTGTTTTGTTGTTTCTGCCTGCGCTCCTTTGCTGTTCCCATCCCATAGCCTGTTAGGCTCAGGCATGCCGCGTGGCTGATCGACCGCAGATTTGCCGTTTGGTCGCTGTCCCGTCAGCAGTGCCGGCGGATCAGTGATATGGACGTTGGCTCTCCGGGCCCTTGTTTACTATCCACACCCGGAGGCCAGAAATACCCGAACACCGCCCAAGATCATCCAAACATTGCCCGAACACTGCCTACAAGGAGCCAAGCAGGGACTCATGCGGCTCTGGTGGGCGTGGAACGGCTGGAGCGACAGCATGTCGTGTTGGGAGGCAACTCCGTCGGAATGCCGTTGTAAATCGGGCTGGTGTGGGGCTGGTTTGGGCTTTGTTTTAGGGCCCACGTGAAGCCCAGGAGCGTCCAATGTTGTTGCGAACTTATCCAAGTGGCATGCGCCATTCCGCCGACCCCCCAGAAGTAATGACTAAGTGCGACGATCTTGGGAAGCATCTCGTGGGCCAGGAGCCTCTTGGATGTATTTGAGGGACTCGTGGGATGCCTCTCGGGGGCCTCTTGGAGGGCTCTTGGGGGCATCTGGGCGCTTTTGGGCCTTCTTGGGGGCCTCCCAGGGGCTTCTTTATGGCGGCCTCTTCTGGGCGCCTCGGGGGCGTCGGGGGGCCTCGTGGGGCCATCTTGGGGAGAAAGGCTTCAAAATGTCAGTTCGTATTCCCCTTCTTGGGCCCCTCTTAAGGCCCTCTTGTGGGGCTTTCTTGGATCTCTTGGGGGGCCTGTGCGGCCGCCTTGGGGCCCTCTTGGGCTGTCTTGGGGCCCCCTTGGAGGCCTCATGGGTAATGTTGGGACGATATTGGGGGCCACTTGGGCCGTCTTGGACGCTGCGAAGACGAAAAAGGTGAATGTGCTACAAGTATGCGTTTCCATGACGGAAAGGGGCACTTTCGGCGGTCCTCAGGGGGCATTCTTGGACTGTCTTGGAGGTGCGTAGGCACGTGGACCGTCTGGAAGCCATCTTGGACTGTCTCGGGGCGACCCTGCGCCGTCTCGACCCTCTCTTGGACTGACTTGGCGCTTTGCCTGGGCCCTCGTTGGCCATCTTAGGGCATTGCGGAGGCTCTGGAGACCCCGGGGATGCGTTGACGAGCTCGGGTCACCCCCCTCAAATAGCATTGGACCCCATCTAAATGTCTCACACGCCTTTACAGCCCTGGCAAGCGGCAGTCGGCGGATAAGACGAATATGCGCGGCGTGCAGGTAAGAGCCTCCGTTTGATAACCACCAGTGTTCCACCAGTGAAGTTGTTCAAGCGTTTTCGACGAATGTGAGCGGCGTTGATGCGATAACAATATTTTGAAAGCGATTCCCCGTTCTTCGTTGAAGTTATTGCACGCGTTTTTCGCCTGGCAAAGGCGAAACGCCTGTCCCGCCTTCGCGACACGTTTGGGGGTGCGACAGGGCAGTTGTATTCAGAAGGAAAAGGGAACATTGAGGAAGGAGGAGGGACTCTGGGGAGTGAAGTGGAGAAGAGGAGGGGGGATTTGGAGGAGGGGGGATCCTTCGCAGCCTTCGAGCGGCAGCGCCTGCAGTGGGCGATGACCTCGAAGCTTGGCTGGCGAAGGAACGCGACCGAGCCACTCGACACGGCCCCGCGCCAGCGCCAGCGCCACTCGGAGGAAACGACCCCGCGCACAGTGCGGGGGGGGATGGGGCGCGACAGACGGCAGCCAGGGCCGCCAGCGGCCGCCGCCGCCCTTGGGGCCAGAGGCTGGCGTGCGAGGATGCCGCCACGAAGTTTTGAAACGGTCGAAGCCACAAAGGTACCGCCGTGAGCTTGCTGAATCCTCCTTCCCTCAAGCCCTGGTGCGTTCATGGGTCCCGAGGAAACTGAGGGGAACGGCAGGGAGGGAGGGAGTGAGGGAGTGAGGGAGGAGGAGGAGGAAGGAGGGGCAGGATGAGCGGTCCCCAAAATTGACCCCCATGCGACCCCATTGGAAAACGTGCGCGATCGACGCCACACACCTTTGGAAGCCACTGCCAGTTTTGGGAAATGTTGGAGGAGCCTATTGCCCCCCCCACCCGAAAGCGGCACTTCAGGACGGGAGAGCAGTGCGCCATTCCCTCGCCTCCCCGGCTGCAGCTTTGTATTCTCGGCTGGTGTATGTTCGGTGTCGTTTGCTGCTCGCCCGTCTTGCTGCAACTTCAGCTTGCAGGTCTACTGTGCCCTTGCCGCCGACTGGGCTTGCTCCCCGCAAAAGGCACCCTGGCTACCCCCCCCGCTGCTGTACCGCTGCATCCGTCTCCTCTCCGTCACCAATGTTTTCACGGCCGCTCGGGGCAACGCAGGCACCCCTGGGGCGCTCGCGGCGAGGCGCAGCGGCTAGAAGCCACCCCGAGACCAGAAGCCAGCCGAGGACCTACATTCAGCGCGCATCGTAAGGAGGAGCGACTTTCCAAGGTTCTATGCTCTTGCGCATTTCACCAGTCCGCCCATCCTTGGCCGCTTTAGCTGGCCGCGCCCCGCTCAGAACGTGTCGGCATAGCCTTCGCAGGCCCTTGCATCCTTCTCGTGCATCCTTGTTCTTCACGCCTCGCGTATCCCTGCCAGCCCATTCGGAGACCCTGACCTTGAGAGCTGCGACACATCTAGTGAAACAGAGCGAGCAACCAGGGTCAACAGAGAGATCTCTGGGAGCAAGAGGGTGGCCTTGGAAGGCCTCTTCGGGCCATCCCTGGGGGCCGCGTGAGGGCGAGGGAAGGAGGAGGAGGAGGAGGAGGAGGAGGACGAGGAAGAAGAAGACGACGACGACGACCATCAGGACGAGGCGGAACTCGTGGCGCCCTCTTGGGGCTCTCTTGGCGCCCTCTTGGGAGCCATGGAGCGCCTCTTGGGGCCCTCTGGGAGCCCGCTCGGGGCTCTCTTGGGGCTCTGTTGGGAGCCCTGGAGCGCCTCTTGGGGCCATCTTGGAGGCTATCGATCAAATGAGGGGGGGGTCCAGATCTAGGTCCCCCGATGGGGTCCTCAAACACACCTCGTGGGACCATCGTGTGGCCCTCTTGGGGCGCTCTTGGTGCCGTCTTGGGCGCCTCTGGGGCCCCTCTTAAGGCCTTATTTGGGCCATCTTGGGGCCACCTTGAGCCCCCCCCAAAGCGCATCGGAAGCGAAACGCGAGACAGCACAACAAATCTATGTTCCGTAGGTGTTTGAATGATGTTGGGCTCTTGGAGGGATCACGAGGCGTCGCAAAGAGCATGTGGAACCGTCCTGTGGACCCTGTTGGGGCCTCTTGGAGGCATGATGGAGGTCGTCTTGAGCGATCTTGCGCTACCTTGGGGTATCTTGGAGGCTATCTTGGAGCATCGGAGGCCCTCTTGGAGCCATCTCGAGCGAAAACGGGCCTTCTGCTGACTCGCGGCCCCTCCCCCCAAAAAAGCCTTGGGAGGGGAGGGGGAGGGCACCCCTCACCGAAGGGAAGAGGGGTTTCTTTGGCAAGGGGGACAAAAAGATATTGTTTGACCGCCTACGCCCAGAGGGCTGGTGGGATTGTACGCGTTGATTGCACAAAGACGCCTGGAGACCCTTCCCGACCGCGGCCCCCACCCCCCGACGTGGGGCGGCGCGGCGTCCGCTTCGGGGTGCCGTAGAAGGCGGTTTATCCCAAGCTGGGGTTTCGAACGAATCCAACCGTATGCTCACACCTCTTTCTTCCAGGAGCCGTTCAGAGCGATTCTCCTCCCAACCCCACCCCTCTCCCAACCCCACCTTTACGTCCCCCCGACCTCCCCCCCCCGTCCTCGTCCTCATCCTTGTCGTCGTCTTTGTCGTCCGTCTCGTTGTCTTCGTCCTTGTCGCTCTCGTCGTCGCCGTTGTCCTCGTCGTCGTCCGCGTCGTCCTCGTCGTCCTCGTCGTCGTCGTCATCGTCCTCGTCCTCATCGTCGTCCTCGTCCTCGTCGCCGTGCTTGTGCTCCTCCTTCTCCTCCTCGTGGTCCTCGGCCTCGTCCTCGTCCTCGTCCTCGTCGTCCTCCTCGCGCTCGTCGTCGTCCTCGTCGCGGTCGTCGCCGTCGTGCTCCTCCTAGTCGCCCTTGTCGTCCTCGTCCTCATCGTCGTCCTCCTCGACGTCGTGCTCCTTCTCCGCCTCCTCCTCGTCCTCGCCCTCCTCGTCCTCGCCCTCCTCCTCCTCCTCGTCGCTCGTCCTCGTCCTCGTCGCTGTCTCCGCCGCAGGGCGCTCCCGCCGTGCTGCGCGCCTGCGGCTTCGCGCCGGAGGAGGGCGGCGCCGCGTGGGTCCCGCCGCGGCCCGCCCGCGCCGCGCGCGGCCGCTGGGCGCGGGCGCGGGCGCGGCGGCGAGGACTTTGACGAGGACTTTGACGACGACGACCAAGACGACGACGACGGCGACGACGACGACGACGACGACGACGACGGCGACCACGACGACGACGACCACGACGACGACGGCGACGACGACGACGACGGCGACGACGACGGCGATGGCGACGACGACGACGACGACGACGATGAGGAGGCGTGCGCGGGCGCGGCGATGGGGGCGGGCCGAAGGACGGATTGGGCAAGGTTTTTAGACGAAGCCAGGACGAGGGTAAGATCGGGCGAGGATAGATCGAGAATCTCTGAGACCCGGCGGCTCTGGAGGATGTCTTGAGCGCCGCGGCCTTCTCAGAGCGTTCTGGAACGCTCTGAGAAGGTTCGGAGCGCTCTGGGACGGATTTATCTTCATCCTAGCCCTGTCCGAGGGTTGGGCGGGTCGAAGACGCATGGGGCGAGAGCTTCATAGGAAGAAGAGGTCCCGATATTGCTATCCTGCGGCGGCGCCGCCAGCCTAGCGACACGAGGTGCGCTGCACTCGGGCCACAAAAAATCGTCGTCGTCGTCGTCGATGTCCTGGTCATCGGCCTCGTCGTTGTCGCAGCGTTCGCCGCCCTCGTCGCCGTCCAGGTCGATGAGTCCCCCCCGATCGCTGCCCCTCCCAGGCTCGTGTCGCAGCAACTCTCTCCGTCCGTGCGGGCTATCCCGCGTTGTCCGGCTCTCCCGCGGCAGACCCTGCCTTTCCCGCGTGCGCAGAGGTCGTGGACCCCGCGTTCCTGCGGACGAAGGAGCGGGTCGGGGGGGGATGGGGCCCTCCTCGTCCTCTTTCTCCTCCTCCTCCTCCTCCTCCTCCTCCTCCTCTTCACCCTCCTCCTCCTCCTCCTCCTCCTCCTCCTCCTCCTCCTCCTCCTCCTCCTACTGTCGGGCTTGCTGTCTCAGTACTTCGGCAAAAGCGAGGCCCAGCCTTACGCAGTTTTTGTGAGGTCGGACTGCCGAGAGAATGTGGTCGACAATCTCGGGGAAAAGGCGCTGACTGTCAAGCGGATGGCGGCGACTGCTGCCGGCAGGGTTCGCCCGCCAACGTTGGAGCATGGACTGGTGTTTAGACGACTGAGCACAAAGTGCATACAGAGTTCGACGAGCTGGTGGCGCCATTTGTTGGGAAGGATGTGTGACGTGGGCCTTGACTGGACCATCACGGGCGCTGCACGTATTTTGCCGGGGCGTTCCGACGGTAGAAGGACGAGCCTCAGTTTATGTATTATTTACATAAAAATCAGCCGTCGATTTTGTCGCATTTGCATTTCTAATTTAGATCTCTAATTTGCAGTTCCTACATCTGTAACATCTCCACGTTGCAACATGACCTACATCTACATTTCTAGCATCCAGGCACCCTGAACAAATGCATCGCTGTGAGTTCCTCGGTGGTGGATATTGGTTTCAGTGTTTCTATGGGCAGCTTGTCGGTTCGATGGGTACTCCAGCCATGAAGGCTTAGCTGCTCTAATAAATGGACTGTCTGGTTGGATTGGTCTCGTGCTGGCATTGTTGCTGGACGAGTTGGTGTTATCCATCAACATGGTCTTCCATGTTTTAATTCAGATCTGTAACGGGGACGGCTGTTGCTGGCTTTGGGTCAGTTATGCATCATTCTCTCGTACATGGCGCTCCTGTACGTGATTGAGGATGTGCCTGCCGCCTGGAGTGCGGGTTCAGTGACTTCCTTGGCTGGGTCCTCATCTGTTGGTGGTGGTTGGCCGTGGCATCCTCATTCGCGCCAGGGACGCGTCCCTGGCATATTCTGGAGTCTGCAGTTGCTCGGCTTCTGCCTGTCCTGTCCATGTGGTTCACTCCGCTACGCTTGGCCTGTCGGTAATCTTCGTGATGGTTGTCCTTTGTCTCATGGGCTTATTGTTGGTTGCCGATTCAGACGCTTATGGAGGGTGTGGCCCCAGTTGGGAGCCCCTCTTGAGGACTCTGGATGCTGGCTACATGCTGGTCTTCGACTATATGTACTTCGTCCTCGCCTGAAGATTGGCAGGCGTCGCGCCGCTAGCCTTGCCGCCAGTTGGTGGGCCCTCCGACGACTGCGCTCTGCCTCTGGTCCTCCTCCTCCTCCTCCTCGTCTTTCTTCTCATCTTCCTCCTCCTCCTCCTCCTCCTCCTCCCCCTCCTCCTCCTCCTCCTCCTCCTCCTCCTCCTCCTCCTCCTCTTCCTCCTCCCCCTTCTCCGCCGCTGCCGCCGCCGCCGCCTCCTCCTCCTCCTCCTCCTCCTCCTCCTCCTCCAGTTCCTCCTCCTCCTCCTCCTCCTCCTCCTCCTCCTCCTCCCACTCCTCCCTCCTCCTCTCCTCCTCCTCCTCCTCCCCCTCCCCTCCTCCTCCTCCTCCTCCTCCTCCTCCTCCTCCTCCCCCGCCTCGTCGTCGTCGTCCTCCTCCTCCTCCTCCACCTCCTCCTCCCCCCGCTTCTCCTCATCCGATTCCCCCTGCTGCTCCTCCTCCTCCTCCTCCTCCTCCTCACCCTACTCCTCCTCCTCCTCCTCCTCCATTTCCTCCTTCTCCTCCTCCTTCTCCTCCTCTTCCTCCTAATCCTCTTCCCTCCTCCTCCTCCTCCTCCTCCTCCTCCTCCTCCTCTTCCTCCCCGTCCTTTCCCTCCTCAAGCCACTCGGGTTCGAGAGATTGCAGGGTGCTTTCTGTCGAGCCCACTGCTTTGCGCGTGCCGCACGTCCGCGCCTGCCCAGCACACCAGGCTGCGAGGCGTGCCCGCGGCTTGAGGAGCGCACCTGACAGGTGCGGCGAATGTCGCAGCAGACCACGACGTCACGTTTATGGGGGACATATACCGCCCTGAAAGAAAGGAAGCCGTGTTGCGAGTCGTGCGCGGTCCAGGGATGGAAGAGTTCACCAGGGCTGGAAGAGTTGACGAGACTTGGTGTGCAGTACTTGTACTTCTTTTGGCAGCAATTGGATCGATTGCGATCGTGTCGCAGAAAAGGGCAAGTACACCAGGGGCGGCACCATGTGACAGACATTCAGAGAAGCAAGACATCACCGATCCGCAGGCCCAAGCCTTGGTCATGCTGCTCACCGACCGCTACAAGCAAGCCAGCGACAACAACGACATGGAAAGGTTGGCCCTAGTGGGCCAAGCATGTCCTCAGCGTAGGCAGCCAGCACCAACGCCACCAGCCGAGTCCAAGCCCTTCGACGAGTTGAAGGCAGCGGCGCAAGAGCTCCGCATGGTCACGCAGGCAGGTGAAATGCTACGGAAGCGCTTCCAACGCAACGCGGAGCGGCAGAAACATATCGGGGCGAAGTTGGTAGATAACAAGGCCACCGGGAAAGAGTCCCAGCATAAGGTGGACGAGTGCAGACGCAGCCAGCGGAGGAGATGTTCGCAGGAGATTCTGGTATCACTGAGCCAGAGCACGTGGACAAGTACCTGGAGCAGAACCGACACATTCGGGATCGAGCCAGGCATCCCGCGGCTGCAGCTGCTGAGATGCCGAAGGAGGAGCTTTAGCAGCAAGAGCTCAAGATCTGGAGCGTGTGTTCCAGGGCCCTCCTGAGGACACGTGTGGGGAGCGCAGCGACGATGGGGCGTGCTCGAGCATTCTCGTGGCGAATATTTCATTGTTCAACTTTGCCGCGCGCAATTTCAACACGCAGTCGGATTGCGACTTGGCGGGGCCGATGGAGCATCGCCTCGCCGCTGCGAAGGCGTCTGAAAGGGGCCCTGTGGCTTCGACCCCGCGGGCGGCAGTCGCACCGCGCAGGGGCAGCGGCTGCGGCGCAGCCGCCGTCCATGTGCGGGACATTTCGCCACGGCGGAGCCGCTGTCCGGCACGCGTGGCACGCGTGCCGGACATTCCGCGGATGGCACCCATGGGGGAGCATGCTGGCCGCGAAGGTCCCACGCACAGACCTCGGTTCACTTGCCCACCGTGAAGGGGGCTGCGCCGCCGAGAAGGAGCTGAATCACAGTGCGGTGGTGCGCTGGGGCCTGAAAGATGGGATGCGCATCGCTCTCTTCGTCGTGCACTTGGATAGCGGCTCTGGCTTGTCGGGCGCCAGCTCGAAGAAGAAGAAGCAGCTAGCTCAGCTCGTGACTAGTACTTCCAGACCACGGATGGCAGTGGGAGATCGGAACGATCCCCCAGAAGAAGACGCGCACCCCCCCGGCCGATAAGCTGGGGCCCCAGCCGGCGATGCCATCTGGAATTGGTGCCGCGTGTTCCAGCGGGCGCGGACGAATGTTTGATTATGTTTGGTGCCCGTCCGTTCGTCGGCCTTTCTTTGGGTGGGCCACAGCAGCAAAGTAGTTGCGCAAGTGCCCCGGCGACCGCGCGTCGGATTGCACGTCGAGACTGCCAGGCGCCCAGCTGCGATCATAGCCTTGTCGCCAGTTCGAGCGGAGCCTCATCGAGCCCCGCGTATCTGTGAGCGCGGGGAAGAGGGCTTGCAGCGCAATCGACGGGGCCGAGAGCAGCGCGCGCGCCTCGCCGTGAACATGATAGACCCAGCAACGAGGAGCAGGATGGCGAGCTCACTGGCGAGGAATTGAAACTCCAGGCTGCGCGCGAAGAGATTGACGGCCTTTTTCGTGCCACGTACCCGATGACCTCGCCCAGCAGAGCACGGCGCGCCAGCTGACAAAACAAGCCAGCAAGAGGATCGGGGATCAATGCGCGCGGTGGGCATTTCTGCACGGTGACGAGGTCGAAGGCCACGATCGTCCGCAGACTTCCAAGTTCGACGCCGCAAGGTGCCAGCCATTAGACGTCGGCCTCAAAGCCAAGCGGGTCCTGAGCACGCCCAGCATGGAAGATGGATAGGCGTTGGATGATATTTGCGGCCGTTGGGTGTCTCAGCCACGCGCGAGAGACATCGGCCGCTGACGCGCCAGTATACATCAGCATGCTTGAGTGCGCTTACTGAACCGATGGCAGCCCGTATCCATGGCTCAACAGAGCTGCGGCGGCAGCCCAGCGAGCCGACCAGTGGGCAAATTGATCATGCCTATTTCACCGACGACATCGCCAACGCCAGCGCCCGCATCCCCAACGCAGCGCGATTCCTCACCGGCGCCGCGAGGAACCAGAACATGGACCGCGCCCACCAGGAGCTCCCAACACGCGTGGCGACCACGAAGATATTCAGGAGAGAAAAATCACAGACACAATTCATCGTCGACTCCCAGGAAGATATGGGAAAATATGGGAAGGGGGGAAGACAAAAACCCAGAAATTATAGGAAAATATGGGGGATCATGTTATCTGTGTGTATTTGTTTGTGTGTCCTTGGGCCCCTTGAGATATGGAGTACGAGGCCGAGGAGATGCCATCAACGTCGCGGGCGTCGCAAGCTCCTGCCCCGCGGGGGCAGGCGCGCCGCGCCCCGCGACCGCGGCTTCGACGGAGAAGCCGCCCACAGCAGGGGCGGCCAAGCCTGGGGAGCTGACGCCGCGAGCTCTGACGACCACCTCGAGAGCTCGTTCGGGGGCCCAACTGAGTGGCGCCGCGCCTGCGCCGTTGCGAGCTGCGATGAGCCTGTCCGCCCTCGCCTTCTGCCGGGCGTCGTGCGCCGCAATGACTACTGTGGAGACCGCGACCTGGACACGAGCGGCGCCAGTCGTGTCCCCGGTCGCCGCCCGCAGCATCCGCGAGGAGTCCTGCCGCAGGCGGCTGTCCCTTCCAGTCGCGGCCGCCTCAACAGCGTCGGCGCAGGCGCGAGCACGACCAGCCAGCAGACGACGCCACGGCGTGATGTCTCCGGCATGGTCCGACGACGG